CGTCCCGTGTGTCGGGTTTCACCCTGGCTGTGATGACAGCCGTTAATCGCTGTAGTTTGTCGCTGCCCGTGTGCCGAGCCCTTAAGAAGTGTGATAAATACAGGCCCAGAATTCTAAGGAAAAAAATAGAATTCTGATTTTTTTTTCTTAGAATTCTGACATTAATCTCAGTTTTTTTTTAAGTTGTCCTAATCCTCTTTTGTAGATCAAGTTTTTGTCTATTTGTTCATAATTTAGACCCAAAACTAGGAAAAGAGTTTCATGTTTTAAAATGCTTGATTATTTTCTTAAATCTCATCTGTTTGCCTCCTGGAATCTCTAAGGTCTTCTCTTCAGTTCATCACTTCTGACAAACACTAGGGGAGAAAAATAATCCTCACTTTGCTGGTGAAATAATAAAGAATTGGAGCTGGATTGCTCATGCATAATATCTGCGTAAAGAGGTCGGAGTTAGGAGGAAAAGGAGGAAATTGGTTTCATTGTTTTGAGTCGCAGCAGTAACGAGGAGAGCAGGCAGGAGCTGCCAGGCAGAATGAAGCAGATCAGAGATTTGACAGGATTTATTGACTTCATTCAGACGGTTTTTAATGTGATTCTGACGCACACCTGATGTCAGAGGAAAATATTTCTAAAGATGTTTTTCTGTCAGAACAGGTGAAGGGTTGTTTTTCTTCATCTGAGTAATTAAACATTTGTGTATTTAATCCATTCTATGTTTTAAAACCTTTTAGATCATCTCCAAACTCCTTGTTTAAAACACTCGGGATGATGTCACTTCTGTAATATTTTGCACATTTGGAGTAATGATGTCATCTCCTGTCAGACAGACAGCCCTTTCATCTGTCACTGGATATAAAACGACCTCATGACGATCAGCTCCTCAGCATCTTGGACTCGTTAAGATCTTTTCTAAATTAAAGCTGTGTGTTTTTGTGTTGCATGCCTCTGATAGTTGTAGCTTCTGCTAATTATTGGATGTTCTTGCAGGTAAACTGTGGTCCAGAAGTGTGAAGGTGGCTTACAACCTGCTGCACAAACTGGGAACCAAACAAGAACCACTCGTCCGGCCCGGTGACCGGGTGAGTCAGAAATACCAGGACACATGAGGTTTTATCTAAATGTGCTGCTGTGCATTATGGGTAAACATCTGCACCCTGCTCTGTATGACGAGTTTAGATGAAATTTTACAAACTTGCTGCCATGAGATGTTTTTTTCTGTCTAATTTTTCAAATAATTCATACAAATGGGTTTCCCTAATGATCCCATCCTGATCGTTAATCATTAATCTGCTAATTAAACTRCTTAACTTCTAAATGAGSCTTTTTTTTTRWATTTAAAAATGTTCAAGCTTGACTGAATGATTGACACCCTGTGGCTGCAACACAAGCCCAAACTACCACCCCTCCACCTCCGTGCTTCACAGCTTCTTTAAGTGTTCTTGATGTTGCATTATGGGTAAAACCTTCTGCTCATTCATCCTAATCAGTGTTGTATAAAGTACCTGATACTTGAGTAAAAGTACAAGTATCTTATCATGAAATGACTTTGGTAAAAGTTAAAGTCTCCTCTACGAATATTACTTGAGTAAAAGTCTTAAAGGGGACCTATTATGCAAAATTCACTTTTTAAAGGTTTTTTACTCAACTTTGGGTATGTACTTCTTAAAAAAAACAGTCCTAGGACCAAAAAATGCACCRAGGGGCATATTTACTGTAAGTAAATGTATTTTTAATGTATATTAACGACAAGTTTTATACTTCCGTCATTTTGTGATGTCACAAGCCGTACGACAACCCACCGGAACCTGCGTTCAGCCCCTCACCTAGCAACCCCCGGGTGAAGCTCCACCTCCTCTGTATAAAAAGCCGTCACCGTGTTGTTGCGCAATGTACATCTCATTTCACAACAAGCCTCCAATAGGGCAATGGGTCGAGTGTTGGACCAGAGAGCAGGAGACCAGGGTTTGAGACRGGCACAGACACAATTTAATTATTTATTTATTTTTGTTTATTATGAACACATTTTCTCATGTACCTCTATTGTTTAGCTTATTAAAGCCTTGTTAAAGCCTATTTGTTTGAGTTTCTGAGGTATTTTGACCYCTGCTGCTCCCTGCTCTGGTAACAGCATGCAGAGTGAGCGCAGAGCAGAGGAGGGAGAAAAAAAAGAAGCTGGGACCACGACTCTGCCTCTGGGTCTCATATGGTTGTACAACAGAGCTTCTGCTATTATTAGCCATGCTAACGTAAACGCTAGCTTTGGAGGGCGGAGTTAATGTCAACAGATTTTTGGAGGGCGTTACCAACAGAGCTCATTAACATAAACAGCTCTTCTGAACAGAAGTCAGAGCAGGCAGAATTAGAAAATGGGAAATTTTATTATCTGAGAATTATTTTGTGCATTAAATTGAATGAACATGGTCTGGATAGCCCACAGACATACCAMAAACATTTCTAGGACCCATAATTGGTCTCCTTTAACATATCTGATTTATTTTGGACTTAAGTATCAAAAGTAAGTTTCTGACATAAAATGGACTGAAGTAATAAAAGTAAAAGTACTGAGTAAAAATGAACGGTTAGATTTTCCAAAATACATTTATTGGGAGGTGACCTCTTCAAAAAAAAAGTTTTTAAAGATGTGCAGCTGTGTTGGTTTGTGTACAAACTTGCTACAGTATCAGAATGGTTTGTATTTATACTTCTCATCCAACCACAATTAAAGTCACTCTATCCAGGAGACARAATTTTTCAGGATAGTATTTTTTAACAAAAACAAGCCGAAATGAAATAAAAGTAACAACTTTCAACTTCTTACCTTTTTGAAAACCGTAAGGAGTAYAAGTAAATGTATGCTGAAAATAATTACTCAAAGTAGAGATAACCAAAATTTCTACTTAAGTACAGTAACAAAGTATTTGTACTTAGTTACTTTACAACTCCTAATGACTTTCTTACATAATTCTTATGGTTCTGTCACATAAAACTTTGAAAACTTTGAAAATATGTATAAAAAAAGTAAAAACTTGTCCTCTGCCTTTGTGCRGTGTGAGTTTTTCCCAGATTAACCAGCTGTATTTATCAGATTATCTCTGTTAGGACGCCTCACTGCTGATGTTTTCAAAGGAACCGTTCATGTTTCTGACTCTTAACGACAGCTGTTTTTCTTCTGTAGCTCCTCCTTTGCTTTCTTTCTGTTTCTTTCAGATTTATTGTTTTTAATCACAACTGGTTTCAGTTAAATAAAAAAAGCGACAACAAACACAAATATGTCATCTCTCAGGATTTTTGAGCTGCGGCCAACATAAAATGTAAAACCCTCTTTAAAGTTTTACTCAAACTGACTCATGCTTATTTCTCTTATAATTATTATTATTATATCACATTCTGGGCCCATTCTATTAACTCATGTCCTTCATATAAAAACCATCAGAATGTTTCTGCTGCCATGTGACGTCCTCAGTGTCTCTGTCCCCCACGTCTCTTTCATCTTTATTTAAAGCTTGATTTCTGGCTCAGCTGGAAACTAAACAAAGACCAGCCTAATGCTGGCTAATCGAGTGTTTCAGACACAAGACTGCTTTTTTTTAATTATGACTCCTTCTTTTCTTCTGGCTCCATGTGAATTACAGATCAATCTGTCTTTTTTTTAAACAATTTCACAGTTTAGCAAGCAGCGCACAGAAATCACAGTTTTGTCTCTTATTTCAGCAGAGGGACGTGTCCAAGTTGTTCATGGAAATGACTTTTAATGAGAAAGTTAAAGCGAGATTTAATTACACCGAGACGCAACGAAGGACGAGTTTTAAAAAAGGATTTATTTCTTTGTGGGGAAACAAACTCTGAACAGTTTGAATAAATATTGTCTGTGGAACTGATTTGACTGGAAGTCATTCTCCGTTTGCAGCTGATTGAAGGTTTTTATTTTGAATTTTAATTTAAAAAACAAAAGCAGGAGCCCTATGATTCTGACAAAACAGACTTTTATTCTGAAAGATAAACGTTTAGCTAAGAAAAACAAAGAAAAAAAACAATTGTTTTTATGCTTTATCTTTTTTTCTTCATTTCAATAAATGAATAAATATTAGTATATTAATATAAAATATTACAGCTTCTGTATAACTATCAGTAACAGTAAAGCTTCCTGTTTCTTGTCTTTTTGGTGCAAAAACACAACTGAACCTATAATAAAAGCATAAACAGAACCAGTGTTCAGCATGTATCTGCAGCCTGAAACATCCTCCCATCGTCTGCAGATGAAACCTGAGCGCCTCGGTGAGACCTGCACGTATCAATATTAGACCCGTTAAACCATCATTACGCCGCTCTCCTTCATTGAAACACACTTAGCCTATAGCYCACACAGTATATCCACGGCTGATGTATATAGAAGCTATTAAGCAGCACTTAAGCAGGGTTCACTGGGAGCATCACAACATGCAACTGGAGCTGAACTGGACCCAAGATAGCAGAGCTGGAGATAACCGCCTCGCTGGGATGGAGCTACAAGTTCAATTTTCATCTGGACAAGATGGCAGTTTAACTCTTTCCAGTGCTTATAATGCAGTTGGAGCAACTTATCACCCTAGAAATTGAAGAAAATCAGAGAAATGTAGAAAGTTGGCGTTTACATCATTAGAAGACTAAACCCTCATTTAGACTTATTTATGTTTGGTAGATTATTTCTTTGTAGCAAAGCTTCTTGGCAATGAATCTTAAACCATTGTAAAGTCTGTTAAACTCTTTTAAATTGTGCAACATTTGTAAGGATCATGCATTTGTTGGCTGAGCAGTAGAGCTGAGTAATATGAGTTGCGTACATGAAAAATTTGCCAAATCTTCTGTCAAGCAGCTTATTTTGCAATTGACTCTTATTTTGGGCTTCTGGGCATGCTGCCAAATAGGTTGCTTGTTTGTTTGTTTATTCATTTATTTATTTATTTATTTATATCTTTATTAATGGCCACGAAGCATTGTTACAAACAAAAAAATCCTAATGTTTTGTGTCATGTATAGATTGGATGATGACCCCAGATTGTTTGTAAATCTGGGGATAAATTTAAAATAAAATGACAAATCAAAATTTCATTACTTTATAATACTTTAATCCAGACTGTGAATTTATTTTGGAAATGTGGAAGCAATAAATGACAGACGACATCATCTTGCTCTTCTGGCAGCTCATTATCAGATTAATCTAAATTTCAGTTGCTGTAACACTCGTGTGGTTTCTCCTCCCGCCTGTAGGTGGCGCTCGTCTTTCCCAACAACGACCCCGGTGCCTTCATGACGGCGTTTTACGGCTGCCTGCTGGCCGAGGTCGTGCCCGTTCCAATAGAAGTCCCGCTGACCAGGAAGGTAAACGTTTTGATCTGCACCCACTTTATCAGGTCAACCTGTTAACAGTTAATTAGCTAAACACATGGAAGCAACTGTGTCCATTTAAACCTCTAGATGAGGTGAAGAAGGACTCTGCAGCCACTAAGTGGGAGTTTCTTTTTAATATAAATATTAATTTTAGTCATAGCTCTAGACAGGAAAGCGCTAGCCATATAAAATTTGAACGTTGTACATCTGGAGGGACGTTAACAATTTAGCTTGGTCAACACAGACCAAACCCTCCTAGAAAATATATATATATTTTTATAAGAATATTAAATATTATTAGTCATAACTTCAGACAGGAAGGTGCTAACCAGACAAAATTTGAAGTCAATAAATTATGTATTCACAATTACTTTGTTATTACATCACTTCATCTTTTAACTTGCCCCACAAGACAAGACAATCATGACCAATCACAGTTTTACAAAATTCCACCCATCCAAAAATGTCCCCCTGTATTCCAAACTCTGTCAATCACAGTCAGGACAAACCCCGCCCACACACCACTTCTGCCAATCACAGTCAGGACAAGCTCCGCCCACARARCARTTCTGTCAATTATGGTCAGGACAAGCTCCGCCCACACCACTTCTGCCAAACACAGTCAGGACAAACTCCGCCCACACACCACTTTTGTCAATTACTGTCAGGACAAGCTCCGCCCACATATAGCTTCTGTCAATCACGGTCAGGACAAACTCCGCCCACACACCACTTCTGTCAAT